AAAAAAAGGACAAGATTAAAGTAAAGAAGAAAGAAGAAAATTGTAGAGGAAACGATGTTTATTAATCACAACGGAGAGAAAAATACAAGAATTCAGCAATATATGCTTCTATGGTCGCTAAAATTGAATGAAGAGTCTACTATTTATAGGGAAGATCTCCAAATCCAAGATGAAAACAAAATAATAAAAAAATTACATGAAATAAAGGAAAAAATATTTTCTCAATATTTTTCCAATAAAACACGTGAAACAATGGAAATAATATTTTTCTAAATACGTGCAAAGAAGAAAAAATATATTTCCAAAGATTCTAACCTAATTTGAGTTTTTCACATATGGTAACCCTAATTTGGGTCACCAATTCCAACACTATTGTCATTGATAATCAATGAGGCTATGTTAGTTTATAAATGTCACAAGGTTCAAGGTATAGTATGTTGTTTGATTATTGAAAAACTATTTGGTTCCAGTACTAAATCCATGTAAATGCCATGTAACCCAAAGTTTAGTTGTCGAAGAAAGCAAAGGTGTTGAAACATTAAAGACAAACAATCTTCTTGATCTCGTCATTGCCTTGCAAAATTCTGCACAAGCCAATTTTATCGGTGTCAAAAATGAGGTTTTGGGAGTCGATTTCATTATCCAATTGAGGGGTAGTCCAGTGCAGCCCAATATCCAGGGGACGGGGTGAGATGGACGATTCTTTACCATGATTTGCTCATTATTTATAGCATGTTCGCTGATTATCTACATACTCATTCCATGCGGGACAAATTTTAACATAAACGATAGCTCTATGAATAACCATGAGATAGAAAGTAATGGGTATTCCAGTTAAGTTTCACGAATCTTTTGTTATGCAACTGATTTGTGAATAATAAGAGAAAAAGGGCTCTTAGACCTAACTATTATGCACTTACAGCTAGCATCAGACGAGTTATTTCTGAATCCTTGAGATCAGAGCCCACTCTTTCCAAACCATTTTTGAGTTCTTCCAATGTGATTTGTCCACTATTATCCACATCTGTCATTTTAAACATTTCTTTTAATTCCTGCAATTTCCTCCTCGGAAAGACATTCGGCAATAACCTATGTATAAGAAACAGTGATGATTAGATATAATGCCAAATGTATTGGCACTACACATGAAACAGTATATTATACAACAATACAACATGCTTCTCCTTTTCATTTATAAATGTCAAGGAAATTGTTCAAAAAAGCTATAACCAAAATAAGAATGAAAGTTTCATGAAATGCAAGATGAGTAAAATGAAAGCACAAGTGGGCTATTTCTTTGCAAAATTGAGATAAATTTCATGTGGCAATTCTGTCAATCCTGTTCACATTTTTTGTTTTTGTTGAACCACTTGATCAAAAAACTTAAGTTGTTAGAGAGAGCCACATACATAACATTTAAATCTTGTTTCAACACATGACACATCCCCTCACATGTAGACGATGTTCATTTTTTCCCATCAAAGCTTTACATGTGCACAATTTCATTAAATGGATGACACTAAAACTTGAACCTAGGACTTTTTCTAAAAGTTTAAGTTAGTCACTTGTACATCATTTATATCTTGTCTTAGACACTTTCTCTTATCAATGAATAGATTCATATACGTGTATGATTTAGATGTCTCGTATTTCTTGGAATAGTGACGCAATTGATTGGATTTGGTCCAATGAGATTGATACAAATTACCATTAGATAGCAAAGGAGCTTTTTACGCGAAGAAACAAAATTGCTCCTTGCTCTTGCATATAAAACTGTATTCTCCAACAGGGCATGGTGAAATGAAATCAGTAAGATTCTTGCATTAATAAAATGAACCCAGCATTTATTAATATATATTTTCCTTATAAATAAAAGAGATTACTCATTTTAAGGGTAAGCAGGAATTACTTTAAAATAAGTAACTTATTGCTGTTTTGAAAAGAAATACATAGTGAAAAGTTTGAAGGGCTGAATTGACTTACTCTAATGGCTATCTTTTTGAGTCTATTCATGGCAGAAAACTGCTTCAAACGAGTTAGCACAGCAGAATCAAGAGGTTTATCGGGAGCAACACCATCAACTTGGACCCATTGGTGGCCTGCACACATTATAACAATAGATGTCATTCAGATGTGCAACACTTGACTCCAGAAGAACATAAAGGTCTGCACATTTTGTGCCATTGGGCTTTGAAACTTTCATTTTTCCAAAGCTGTATAAAATAAAATTATAGATTCAAATATGGTCTTAAGCTCTATCGACTGTGCTACTGGTTGTTTGCTCAATTTTACTTAACCACCTCTTTACTGCTTGTATCTCTTCAGGCCTCTATACTCAGTCATTTAGTTATGAAACAGGATATATACAATATTAACATCGTGATTACTTGTGTAATGTATAGACTACCTCATACTCGAGTTGATTAGGGAAATAATTGTGGGATGAACTTAATGTGATCTCCAAGTCCAGTCACTCTAGTGTGTGCTTTTCCCTTTGGAAATTTTTAAGCCTCGTGACTGCTTTAACATTTTTTAGAACTAGACTTCTGATCACCTCTTAAACAAATTTTCATGGATTTTTTCATCTTCGCCATCGGGAAAAGAAAATTTGATCCACTCCTAATTCCCTACTTTTTCCCTTGAAGAGATCAGCAGGTTGAATTTATTTCCTGAGTTTCAAAGGTCACAAAACAGACAAAAATAATACTTTCTGCAGCATTTTATCCAATGCCAAGTTGTAAAAAATTTGTAACTCTATTACTCAGTATGATGCTCGGACTTGGGTACGGGTACGTATCTAAATGTCTGATCTTTTATTTTTTAAAATGTAGGATACGGGCATATGGTTAAAAAGAGTCCAAATTTTGGACACGGGTATGTGGGTACGTCTTTCAAATTTCAATTTTTTTACTAACTCAGGATATAGTTTTGAATAGACCAAAATTAATTATTCACAATGAAGGAAATGAGTATTTAATAAGGGATTAATACAAATAAAATAGAATTTTGGGGTTTAATTTTCAATAATGAGAATAACTAAATTTTAAATAAAATTGAAAATGAGGAACTTGATTGCAATTTGGACTTAGTGGAGGACTAAGTATTACTATATGGAACATATTTTAATTTTATACAAACAAAACCCTAAACGGGCTAAACCACCTATATAGAGAGAGAGAAGGAAAAAAAAAATGGAAAGAAAAAAAGAAAGAAGAAGAAAAAGAAGGGAAAATCTAGTGTTGCCGTCTTTCTTCACCCTCTCAGCGACGACACTAGGTTTATAGAGAGCAAAAGTGGGAAAGAAGAAAGACGAAAATGAAGGAAGCAAAAACGACGAATTGTTCGGTTGAAATTTGAAGGATCTGACACATATCCCATGCCCATACTCATGTCGTGTCGTATCCGACACGGGTACTCCAACTATTTCGAAGAGTCCAACTGTCCAAGCATCATAGGTTACTCAAATGTTCTAGAAATAATCATGTTATAAGGTTGTAAAAAAAGCTCCAAATCACTAACTTGCAAAAATTCCCAACTTGGCATATTATATACACTAATTTATGTACGATTGCAAGGAAAAATAATAATCTTTCATTGGAACCAGGAATACCCTGTTCGAATAGTATCACCTATCATATGCTATCTTTTGCAGCTGTCATCAAAAGGCTCAGGCATTATTTCCCTTGATTAAAAAGTCCCTATTTTTCATTGTGTTTTTAGTATACTGTCCAATGAAAAATGTGTCACTTCTACTGGAAGTTGAAGAAACATTGATGTTATGAAATTCTGAAGCAAATCAAAGCAATTTTATGTACAATATATGCTCCAAAAAGAATTGTCATTTGTCCATAGCAAGTCAAGTTATATTAGTGGATGGCAGGATGAAGAATCACTTCTCATTTTCCACATATAGTGTATTTTTGGTACGTGACATTAGATTGTACTCGACACTAAAATAGATAAGATTATAGTTTCTTTTTCTTCTTTAGTTAGTCCAATATTATCTAATCCACTTTACCAAATATGTTATTAATGCATAACAAACCAGCAAAAGAATGTAGCTGGCTCCCCGAGACTTAAAAGAATTGGTTTGGTATATAGGATACTCACAAAGAACTTGATATGCAGTCAACCGTTTTTTCGGATCTCGAACAAGCATTCTTCTGACAAGATCTTTTGCACTATCGGAAACACTGGGCCAAGGCTCTGATACAAAGTCGAGTTCTCCTTTCATTACCTGTTCAAATATCCCTTGTTCCGTTTCTGATCCCAGACACATGCAAGAAAATAGGTCTAAATGAGTAGATTCAAGTGGCGAGAAAACAACAAAGATCAAAATAAATGCTCACCATCCCAAAATGGAGGCACTCCACTTAGCAAAATGTAAATAATGACTCCAGCACTCCAAACATCACACTCTTGACCATGGTGCTTCTTTAAGACCTCTGGAGCTACATAATAAGGGCTTCCAACCACGTTGTTGAATGTGTCACCTGAGAAGAGAAATTGTTAGCACTTGATCTGGCATGAGAAAGAGTGATTGACAAGCGAGGAGCTATAGACACAAAAGGCAAGCTACCTCTTACGGTTAGAAAGGACACATGATTCCACTAAAACATTGGTGCAAGGATGTGGATAGTATTTAATACAAACGCATGCAACCCCTCACAGCATACAAATACGAAGGTTAGAAAAATTGATTCAACGTTGAATAATTCCTAATCAGAAGCAGAACAAAGCTTGGGATGACTCCAACCATATTCCAGAAATTTTTGACTCAAACATGTGAAACCACGAAAGGCTTGGCAGGTGGATTGCCAATACCAAAACCTTGTACTTTGCTTTTCCATTTATCTGAAACAAAAAATCCATAATATTATCACTTTTGGCAAGGGATGCAGAGTCTGAAACAATGTCATGCTTCCAAAATTTTGAGAGATAAGATTTTCATGTCATTTTAATACTTGTTAATTAATTATTGTGTGTTTAATGCTTTAATTGTCTGCTAACAATTAATTGATTTGGGGATAATACTGAGATCGAGAGGTAATGTATAATTCTAGCTCGTGCAATAATTGACATAGACACTATAAGAGGTCGAGAGATGATTATAATCTATGTGATTTTTATTGAATTCCTATAGATTAATGCTTTCTTATGTGTGTGAATTTACATAGAGATATAGTAAGTTCGGGCATATGAATAGAATTAGTGTTGTTTGAGAAAGATCACTAAATACAATAGGTTAATTCGATCGTTGGCACGTATGAAAAATGGCTGAATAAATTGGAATTAAATTTATGATAAATAACCTAAGTGAAATCGGAAATCCTAACTACCTCATCATTTAATCTTTTCTCCAGTTTTANATCTTTTCTCCAATTTTAATTAATAGTTTGTTATTTTATTTATTAGAATTTCACGTTGAAAACAAAATTTGATTTTATCATTAGTTACCATTTTAATTTAAACTGAAACTAGATTAGTTTTTAACTTTATATTAAATACTAGTCTCTGTGGGACGATATTCGGACTCGATAAATCCACTTTATTACTTGTCACGATCCGTATACTTGCGGAATTTCACGAACAATATGCTCCAAAAAGAATTGTCATTTGTCCATAGCAAGTCAAGTTATATTAGTGGACGGCAGGATGAAGAATCACTTCTCATTTTCCACATATAGTGTATTTTTGGTACGTGACATTAGATTGTACTCGACACTAAAATAGATAAGATTATAGTTTCTTTTTCTTCTTTAGTCAGTCCAATATTATCTAACCCACTTTATCAAACATGTTATTAATGCATAGCAAACCAGCAAAAGAATGTAGCTGGTTCCCCGAGACTTAAAAGAATTGTTTTGGTATATAGGATACTCACAAAGAACTTGATGTGCAGTCAACCGTTTTTTAGGATCTCGAACAAGCATTCTTCTGACAAGATCTTTTGCACTATCGGAAACACTAGGCCAAGGCTCTGATACAAAGTCGAGTTCTCCTTGCATTACCTGTTCAAATATCCCTTGTTCCGTTTCTGATCCAAAACACATGCAAGAAAATAGGTCTAACTGAGTAGATTCAAGTGGCGAGAAAACAACAAAGATCAAAATAAATGCTCACCATCCCAAAATGGAGGCACTCCACTTAGCAAAATGTAAATAATGACTCCAGCACTCCACACATCACACTCTCGAGTCTTGACCATAGTGCTTCTTTAAGACCTCTGGAGCTACATATTAAGGGCTTCCAACCACGTCGTTGAATGGTTCACCTGAGAAGAGAAAGTGTTAGCACTTGATCTGGCATGAGAAAGAGTGATTGACAAATGACAAGCGAGGAGCTATAGACACAAAAGGCAAGCTACCTCTTACGGTTAGAAAGGACACATGATTCCGCTAAAACATTGGTGCAAGGATGTGGATAGTATTTAATACAAACGCATGCAACCCCTCACAGCATACAAATACGAAGGTTAGAAAAATTGATTCAACGTTGACTAATTCCTAATCAGAAGCAGAACAAAGCTTGGGATGACTCCAACCATATTCCAGAAATTTTTGACTCAAACATGTGAAACCACGAAATGCTTGGCAGGTGGATTGCCAATACCAAAACCTTGTACTTTGCTTTTCCATTTATCTGAAACAAAAAATCCATAATATTAGCACTTTTGGCAAGGGATGCAGAGTCTGAAACAAACAGTACGAAGGTTTTAAAACTCTCTAGTGTATAGGCACAGTGAAAGATTTTCTATATCGTCACTGGATGATGGTAAAAAACATAGGAGTGCCTGTGGCTCTAGGAGATCAGCTTCAGGTCATATTCGCTAATTTTTTGAATCACGACTTGTATACATGATATGATGGCATTTAGGATACTCGAAAACAAAAATTGCTTTTCTTCAATAAATAGAAATTTATAAATTTACAATCCAAATATCTCTAAGATAATGCTAAGTGCATAATCAACTTTGGACATGACAGTTGAAAATTCATGCCTGTACTTTTTTTTAAAACCAGTTATGAGCCTGGACAGCATTCTTCCCATTGCCAAACCTCCCCAGGCTTTAATCATATCTCAACCTTAATGGGAAAAATGGCCTAAAAGCAAACCCAAAGAAAGACAATGACCACATTGCATTGCTTCAGAGATTATCAACAGGCCTTCCACTGGTGCTTTAGAGCCCAAATTCTTAACTGGATATCTCTAGGCGTCATACATAAGATGTAGAGAATATGGAATCATGAATAGCTCGTGTAACCAGGTAAGATTTTGACATGTTCACTACCAACTTAATAATATTCAATATCCTATCCCTGCCTTGCAAATATCAGCAGAATGGGAAAAAAGGAATAAAGAACCACCCTATGGAATCAGAGGTTTAAAGTAAACTTCAAAGCATAATAAAATCACGATATCTCTTAAATAAAAAGGTGTAGGATAATAATTTATTAATGGCTACTTATTGAGTATATAAATGCATATAGAAAAAGCAAAATTTCTGCTACTTCTACTTCTACTTCTACTACTACTCCCCAAAACCAAATATACAACTCATTGATTTTACAACTGGAAAATATTAATTTCTTTAAATGAAGATTTGAAATTAATTTTCAGATAAATCAGAAAAACGACAACGGTGTAAAAGAGTATAGAGAAAAAAGGCCCCAACCAAGGACGAGATGCATAAGAAAGGTTTATGTACTTCTTTGAACTATGAAAGTTAATAAAAGTTGTCATCTCACTTCCCAGTGCATTGGAGAAAATGTAGTTGTACAATACCAAGCTAACGGAAGAGACGTGTCTTTATTTTTCAAATTCAACCATCTTTAAATGAGTAAATTGACTAGGTTGTTCAAATGGACAAGATAAACACTAAGTACCCTTTAAACCATAACTTGCTAGACTACAAGAGCGTGTTTTGGATGTAGGTTTGAACAAGATTCTACAATGAACGAAATTTTAGGATTTTTTTATTGCTTAATATTGTCTAAAAACAAGCCTGAAGAGTTTTTCTGGTAACATCCTCACGTACTCTGTAAATGACCTCACTAGGAGAGGTAGAGTGGGCATTCCTAGTTAACCCTCAAACTACATAGACATAGTCACAACTTTTAGCCGCTGTTTGTCTACCATTTTTCAAAAAATTATTTTCTACAGTAATCAATCTCTATCACACATTCAAATAATAAAATATTCTACACATAAACCGATAAAGTTTCTTTCAATTTCAACCACACATCTTTCAAAAAATACTATTCATTACACCATTTTCTTCTCAATAATGGTTGACAAACAAGCACTNCCACATATTTTCCAAAAAATACTATTCATTATACCATTTTCTTCTCAATAGTGGTTGACAAACAGGCACTTAATGCAACCTAAGCTTACTTCATACTTTCTAAAGGCTTCATCTGCTTGGTAATTCATACAAATGGATTAGCACAAAGGATCAAAATTCATGTTCTCAGAACTAGGGGTGGACATGGGGTTCTTGGGGGGTCACGTGACCCCCCAACCTTTGGGATTTCTTTTTATAAATAAAGTCATATTTAGTATGGATTAAAATATAAATTTTAATCTAAATCAAAGTTAAAAATTAATTTTAATATATTTTATGTGACTAACAACTGTTCAACTTTCATCAAAATCTATTAAAAATCTTATTTTAATCCCCATTAAGCATGGAAAAATCACAATAGATTCAAACTTTTCTCTTTTCTCTTACTCTCTAGCAACTCTCTCCCTCACACCATTTACTGAAACCTTATCCATTCTAATTTTTAAAAATTGTAAAGTTTATCTACAAATTATCACATTTACTACAAATCTTCACTATAAATTGGACATAATCATAAACAAATTTTCAATTAATTATAATCTTAATTTGCATTTTCTCCTATCAAATTGTGTATATAGAATATGTATGAAATGATTATGTCCAATTTGACTTATACTGAGAGCTCGTTTGATTCTCATTATTATAGAACGAGAATGAAAAATATAGTCGTTATTGGGCCCTACACAAGAGATAGAAATTTAAAATTGATGTGAAATTAAATAACCATTTCGCACGCTTTAGTCTACAAGAGTTTTGTCTTATTACAGGATTACCATGTTACGAGATATCTATTGATGTTGACTTCCATAATAATCGACCTAGAAATCAATATTTTCATGGTGTTAGAGAATTAGTATGAATATGCTATATGAAACATTTTATCTCTGCGGAGACGAAGAGGATAAATTTAAACTGAGATTGGTGATGATAGTAAAGTGTGTTTTGAAACCGACGGGAAGACATTGATTACAGAACACTGTGTATGATTGAGCATCTTAACGACTTCCTGCAATACTCATGGGGGCGTAAAACATATTTTATGTTGTTAAATTCACTGCGAGAATCTCAACTGGAAAGAGCACACAGACTAGAAGAAAATCAACAAAATGAACGTAAATATGCATTGCATAGATATCCACTAGCCTTCCAGGTATTTTTTGTATTCTTTATTTTTCACAAATGTAAATATAGTTTATATATCTAATTTTTATAATCTCTATATTTAATTTTATAATTTTTGTATTCAATTATCTCAATATTAGATATACGAAGCTTTCCCACATATTGAAAAAGATTTGGACTACGTAAATACAAAACATTGCAATGTCCAATAATGCATAGGTGGAAACCGAATAATTTTGGACAGAGAATATAGTTAGGCAATTTTTGGATAACGAGGAGGTAATTAAATTATTTAATTATATTTCTTTGTTTTTTTCCAACAAAACATTTGAGCATTTCAATTATAGATTCAAGTCATTGCAGTCTTAAACCCTACCCACGAATAATTGCAAACAACATGGTATACAACTCTTTCACCACCAAATGACAATCGACATAATGTATTAGATGCCATTGCAGGTAGAGATATCAACAATGTAACAGAATAAATCCCTGAAAACATACTACCTGGAGCGGCCCAACTTCTAGCTCCAATTATGGTGCGGAGTTAGCCCAACTTCTACCTCCAATTACGTGACAAGAGAAGAGATGAAGGACATGTTCAATGTATATAGACAATATGCAGTATCAGATGTATCAGATTTGTACAGCAATTTGAAAACAAGCATTATTGAACAACGGGAAAGCCACTATGAAGCGATTCTTCGCAACCAACATCAGTTATTTAAACATCAGCAAAAATGACAACAAGACCACTTTCATCAACAACAACACTATCAAGACATGCAGTCCAACATGCAGAATTACGTGGATACGAGTTTAATTTAAGTGAGGTCTTACAAAGATGAAGAGAATAACAATATGATGAATACAATATCAGGCTGAAAAACAAATATGGAAACTATTATGACTTCCTTCCAGGAAGATGTTCGCCCCCAACAAAATGCAATTGTGAAGCATGCTTCAACATCTCAACAGGTGGAAGATGTTGAAGATGTTGAAAGATTAACCAAAAACAAAAAAAGTCAAAAATCTTGGACAAGTTATGCTCTGGAGAGTTATACTTTGGAAGATTATCCTATGGAGAAATATGTCCTTAGAGATTGGGAACACAGAATCCCTAGGGATGCTGCAAAGCAGAGCGCCCTTCGACAGAGCTCAATAAGCACAGGTCTTTGTAGCTCATTTCACCGTGATAATGGATTCTGTTATTGAGTTTTATGCAAAGATTCCGGCTTTGTTGTTTTCTAAAAATATGAGGACAGTGAATAGCAGCAGTTTGAATTAGAGTTCTTCTGCTTTTTATTTTTCACAATCTGTCAAGATAGTTTTTTTCTGGAAGGACAATTTATTGAAGTTCAGTTAGAAAACAAAAAATTTCAGATTTCTTTCTTTTTTCCTGTCAATTTTCACACCATACCTATCAATTGCTCTTGTTGTCATCCTGGTGAATTTCGTTTAACACTTTGTGCAGTCTGAAAAGGGTTGGGGGGAACTCAAAGAAATGGAGGATTTAGTTGCTTTGAGAGTTGCGATTTAGATAATTGATCAAATGGATAGAACTCAAAGAAATGGAGGAAATGAGTAGAAGTGGGATTTGTTGACAAATGGCAAAAGGGTTGGGGGAACTCCGATGGAACTTACCCAAAAAATTTAAAAATAAGCATGTTTGACAATCCTTGGAAGAGCTTGTTCCAGTAACTAATTATTACGGTGATACTTTTTGTAAAAAAAATAAT